TAACTTTACAAACATTTTTTTTTAAATACCACTAGTGAATACAATTGGATTTACAATCATGTTTTGTTATTTGAGCAGTTAACATTGTAAGCTATTGTGAAAGCCCAAATGCCTAGATTTTTGACCATCTAGTTATGATTACATCTTAAATCTATATAAATAAAAATGTAAATGTTCGTTTGTTCAAAATCTTAAATCTCCAAAAGTTCTTCACTGATTGCTTTGAAATTTTGACACAACGTTGCATTCGAATACGCACGTGTTTTTATATACCTACTATTATATAGATGTCACATATTATAGATGTCTAAACATATTAGAAACGTGCACTTTCTCTTTTCTTTATTTTCCATTTAACCAGACTGAGCCCCAGCAACGCGTGGCCAGGTACAGCTAGTAAATAATTATAAGAGATTCAGTTAAGGATGTCATTTGCAAAAATACTAATTTTAAATAAATAAAATTTATTTAAAAAATAAATTTTGATTGATTGATATTAATTTTAGCAATCAGAAAAAAAAATGTTCTTGACCAGATTCAACAAACCTGTAAACGTCTGAATTGGTAAAACCACATTCTATGGATTAGCAAAACTATGATTTCATGAAAATTATCTAGAAACATTTTATCAATAAATTCTAGCTAGCCAGAAATATTTCATTAGGCTAACTACTGGAACCCACAACCAACTTTTTCATACAATCCCCACATTCACCAAGGGTGTGCAGAGATAACATACAAAACATTCACATTACTCTCATTACAGTGTGTCTAAATGTTGTTTAAATAATTTATTATCAAGTTATGCTATCATGCTCATTAAGAAATGGGGTACTTGTTTGGGGGGAAATGTTGTGCAGAGGAGTATAGCTAGTTAATGTGGAAGATTCCTATATTGTAGAACAAGATTTAAAAATATGCATATAGATACTGTTCCATTCCCATGTGCTCAGTATAATTTCCTCATTTCCAACTATGTGAACAGATGCTTAAACCATGACAAATGTGAATGGATGTGAGTGGTACACCATTCAGCAAGATGCATATAATCTTTTATTCAGGGAACAAAAGGGAGAAAATATTGCAGGTAAAACAATAATCCCTGAGACCTAAATTCAAATATAACTCTTGAATCCAAATATCAAACCATCCTGCTCCACTATTTTAATTTATTATATAAATACTTTAAAAATATTGAGTACAGCCAATTCAGATAAATATGAAAGACACACAACCCTGGGGAAGGAACAGAATTTCATTACATTATCCACTAAAGGTAAGAAAATCATAGTTTCGCTTGCATTGGCAGAACTGATAAAAATGATAAAAAGTACCCTCTTGCCATTTTAATCATGGACCATAAGGTTGTTATTGACTCATATCAAAAATAGGTACACACAGATAATCGATAAAGTACACAATTCCAATTAGGACATGGACATAAGGTAATTGTAAAATTAAAGGAATTGGCTACAACAGTGGTTCTCAACCTGTGGTCCATGGACTCCTGGGGGGACCATACTGTGATCACAAGGAGTCTGTGAAGGCTTGAAGAAATGTTATGATTTAAATCTTGAGTTATGTTTTGGGTCCGTGGTCCGTGGTCCATGGTAAAGAAAAGGTTGAGAACCTCTGAGCTACAACAGTCCTGTTCCTTACCTTGCCTTTATTAATAAATATTCTTGTGTGGTCTGAGGAATCCCAGGATCTTTCTGTTAACAGCAGTAGTAAAGCTCTATTCTTTAGAGGATCACAGGAAAAAAGGCTATCCCTCCTCTCACCATTTCCAAGAACATAGTTTCCCTAATCCAAATAGGGTGCTTAAACACTGTATTATGAATATTAATAATGTAAACGTCATCGTTCCAATAGATGAAACCCCTTAAAAGAACTTCAAAGGAAAATTCTTCCTCAAAGAATATTTTATTCAGGAAACAAAGTATTGGCACTTAGTTGAACTCAAAAACGAAATTCCCTTCCCCCAGATACAAAGCAACAAAGTGCAATTCCCACCCCCAATAAGCTGTCATAAATCACATTCTCCAATTAGCCTAAAACGTGGGCCTTCTCCCCAGCTCCTCAGCCCGCCACAACGTTATCAGCTCGTCCTTGGGTTCCCACAAAGCAGAGTTATTATTATGGCTAGCTGAGTTCGAGCTTTCATTCCAACCCCTCCTCCCTTCTGCACCTAATTTCTAAATACAAGAAAAAGCATGTTAAAGGAAAAGAGAAGATGGCTGCATTTTCATCAGTTGTCAGAGTGGGAACATCCAATGTTTGCAGCGTTGACAGTAAATATACATCAGAATTACAGATAAATTTCCTGCCTTTATAATTACTCCTGGACTTGCGCTCTATTTTGCCATCTTAAGAATTTTATATAGCAATGTTCTGTAATTAATTTTGGGACAGCACATATCGCTTGCTTCTATTTCCACTGCATTCAGTTTTTAATGGTTTTTTATACATTAGTTTAAAATTAGTTTAAATTATATTTTTAATTAAACAACTATAGGAGGTCAGGTGCAACATATTACCTTTTTGGCATGTTATTATATGCACTATCACATCAATATTCATTATAGTCAATTAAAACATCATAAGTTATAACTTATCGCATGAGGCCAGATACTAATATATATTGTAATTAATATAAATTCAAGGATATTATTTTTCAGCAATATGACCTGAATGAAGTGTAAGCACAAGAAAATGAGATTTAAGTGTTCATGTTTTTACTTCAATAAGAAATAAAATACTGGCTCTACTGATTTTCAGTATTCTGATATACTTTAGTCTTTAATTTTTAATCAAATACCTGAAAACTATACCCAGAACTGTCTGTGAACATATTCTTAAGATTACAACATATATCTTATATTACTTTAGTACACACTATATTATGGTACCTAGCATACATTGTTTTAACATATACACTACTTAGAGAGCTTTAAATGATGAAAGAAAAGAAAGAATAGGAAATGGGGGGGAAGAAAATTAGTACTTAGTTTTATTATAAATCTCCTCCTTGTATCTTATTTTTCCTTTTAGCATATTATCTGAAAAAATTCTACAAGAATATCATATAATATTTGTCTATTATATACAAAGTTCCAGTAGTGGGCAAGATATTCATGATATAATTTTAAATAAATCTTTTCTACTATCTACTATCTACTATCTATATAGCTTAAGAATTTGTTTTTCCATGTGCTTCCAAAAAACCCAAACATAGTATTTGAAGAAAACTTGAATATTTTGAAAATCCATACATGGATTGAATCAAATTTAATTTTGTTATTAATATTAATTAAACATTAAGAACTGAACAGAAAAGAACTTTTAATCTGTGCTTTGAAAGTAAAAAGACTGGCTGTGTCCCATGATAAAGAAATGAAGGGTTATGGTCTACAACACTATATTAGTCCACAACTTTTTTTATAAAACGCAAACTGATGGCAGGATGCGAAGGCCGGGGTGAGGTCGGAAATTCTGCACGCCAGAAGAAACTATATGGAATGGTGGATTACCTGTTATAAAAAGTAACCTGGCTTTGGCGAAACCATTTAATAAAGGATCCAACATCATTGTTCTTGTTGAATTAGGTGATTTGTCAAAAGATTCTGTAATGGAATGTAGTGAAGAAGTGAATCCCAGGAAGGAAGGTGGTGCATTCCAGAGAAGAGGCAACTCAGCCCAGAAATTATGTGGGAGAGAAAGAGGGTGGAGACAGCACCTCCCTACTAATTTACAGAGTATATTATAGATGCAGACAATTGAGTTTTAAGTCTTGCAATATTTTATCTATAGGTGTGAAACAATAAAGAACTTAGCACTGAAGAATTGCCATGTATCATTCTTGGCTTGGGACCTCACAGATTCATGTTTTATGGCTGATTTTTCAAATACACATCCTTAAAACTAGCAAGACACACGGACAGCAAAATTTGCATATTTGAAAAGCTGACAAATTTATCAGAATGGGGATTATCAAGTTTTGATATTCTACCTTAAAAAAATGTGATGTTATCAGCCCTAGAACTCTATCTCCATAAATCAAAGTGGCCATTAATATATTTGTTCCTATATTATTTGACAATTGTTCCTACAGATACATTTAGTCCTCGAGTTACAATCATTCATTTAGTGACTGTTCAATCTTACAACGGCACTGAAAAAAGTGATTTATGCCCATTTTTCACACTTATGACTGTTGAAACATCCCCATGATCACATTATGAAAATTCAGACACTTGGCAACTGATGATTGCAATGTCCCAGATTCATGTAATCACCTCTTGTGACTTTCTGACAAGCAAAGTCAATGGGGAAGCCAGATTCACTTAACAACCATGTTACCAGCTTAACTGCAGTGATTCACTTAACAACTGTGGCAAGAAAGGTTGTAAAATGGGGCACAACTCACTTAACAACTGTCTTGCTTAGCATTGGAGTTTTTGGGCTCAATTGTGGTCGTAAGTCGAGGACTACCTATAATCAGTTACTAATGTTACATTTTATAATTCCATGTTTGAATAAATACACAAGAGATAAATTGTTGCCTTTCAATCCAAGTTAGGATGAGGACTAAGATGCAAAGTGTAATTAACACTCTTCTTAACTAGCCTCAATTAAACACCTGTCTCTTGATTATATACCATTGGGAAAGCAGATGTTTATCTAATTAACACTTCAGCTCTTAGCTGAAGAAATATGCGAGATGTGTGTGTCACAATAATTTTAACCACTCAGTGTTTACCAGGTTCATAAAAATACATTGTTTTATAGACTACTCGTATATTTCAAGTATGTTCACATTTTAATAGCATTTTATCTTCAATCTGTATTAAACACTTGTGAAAATTTCCTGTTTCACATAAATATTGACTTCAGTGGAGTCATACCTTTGAAGTATATGACTTGCAACTTTACCTCTTATTCCATTTTTTTTTTATTCCCTGCACTATTAAGGAAAGAAACTCAGTCTGAAGATAACTTACTGAGTGGATTGCTGGAATTCTCTCAATTGTTGATACAAAAACAGATAATTCCTTTTTCTTCTTATGTGATTGTTCCACAGCTTGTTTCATCTGAAATTTGAATACACAACAATACTTTGAAGTCCAGTTGGGCTTTTATAATCCATTGCAGTCTTTATTGTTTATCAAATAATTAGATTTTATTGTAAATTCATTTATATAAATATTGTACTGTTCAATAAAATCTATAAAATCCCTATACAGATTAATTCCATCAAAACTAGCATATTGTATATGAGAGGATGTTCTCCCCCATCTTCAAGGCATGTGTTCCCCACAGTAATACATTCATTGATTTCCTCCTATCAAAGTTTGTAAATTACTTCTGATTTAAGTTACATTTGACTAAATGAAAGGAAGGTTTTCTACATAAAACTAAAAGGTATAGTATTCATCTATAACTTAGCATAAGGCAATATAAAGGCTGTACATATATATAAAAAGGAATATGTATGAATTATTTCTGATAATTATATGATATTCCTTATGTATGTTTTACCTGCTTGAGGAATATTTATATAACCAGAGGGGTGTTGTGCGTGTATTTATATATATTTAATTTGCTCTGTGTAATTTTTAAGGACAGGCTTATAATATTTTATGTCTTTTGTTTCTATCTTCACAGTACCTCCTACCCTCTTCTCATTTCTGCTACCAAGAGACTCATTTCTAAATTTATGTATAATATAATATTAGCTCTTCAGTTTGATTAGAATCTAAGGGGAAAATATTTGCATCTGAAATATTCTGAAGAAAATTGTCCCTAGAACTAATATATTTGGTAATTTGTTTTCATTTCGTCTTCCACATGATTATAATTCTATTAAATTAAGTCATCAGGGAATGTTAATGGATACCTAGGTTGTCATATGTTTGATAATATGGGAGCGTGTGTGTGAAAGATAAGAGTTTCTATGCTAATTTAAAAAGACATCACTTAAGAAAGGCAAACTATACCACCCACAAACACATTTTTGAAGAGGGATATGATTCTCAAGGGTTAAAATGTTAGGAACTTTCAAAGTATAGATACTGCTTTCTGTGTATGTACAAACTGTGGGTTCCCTGCAGCATAAGGTTTTATGGACAATGTCTTTACTCATTCTTAAAGTATCACACAATACATCTACAGTATATCCAAGTCCTAAACTTTTCTAGCTTCATGTAAAAGCTGCTCAAAAACTTCAAGATAAGTTACAATGAATTCAGTGGGGATTCACAGATGTCTTTACAAATCTGTGATGAGGAGAGAGAGGAAGGGTAATTGGGTCAGAGAAGGGTAAGATTAAAAACAATTAGTTGAGAAGAAAGATAAACTAATTCCTAAATAGCAGAGCAATAGCACTTAGACCTATATACTGCACCATAGTGCTTTATAGCAATCTGGGAGCTTTACAATGTCAGCATATTACCTCCAACAATCTGGGTCCTCATTTTACCGACTTCGCAAGGATGAAAGGCTGAGCCAATCTTGAGGCTCTCAAGATAAAACTCAAGACTGGGGCAGAGTTAGCCTGCCATACTGTGTTCTAACCACTGCACCACCATTGCCAATGAAGGCAATGAGAGCAAAACAATAAATCTGCATTTGTTTACACAGGACTCAGAAGAACCCATGTGTGTCTGCTTCTTTGTAGAGGAACATGAACAAAGCCCATATTGGACCATGTGAGTGGCCTAATAATCCATAATTCTTATTAGAAATTAGAAAATTAAGAAGGCAATAGTATCTGACATTCAGCTATGTAAAGATTTTAAATGTAGGACCTTCATATGGCTATCGTGGTTGATCTACCAATTCTTCATGAAGAGAGTTACCTTGTTTCAATTTAGAGCAATAACAGACAGGTGGACAAAAAATGTTACCTGATAATCAGCTGGTCCAGGTGTAGCAAAAGCTTCCCTCTTAACTAAATATAACAATCGAGGAACTGTAGATCCAAATGCTCTTTTCTTTGTCTCTGTGAGAACATTTTTAAGGTTGGGTGTTGCAATTCTGTAATTGTGGATATTATAAAATGCAGGACCTGCAAGTGCACAATGAAATTTAGTTAAATTAAGCAGCTTCATTTGAACTGAAATCTTAAGCAAAATAAAATGATACGGATACACATTTACCATTATTTCTGAAACCTATAAATATAATTCAATTTCAGTCAAATAAGCTTAAATCAACTAGAATTAAGATTAGCTAATTGTGAATCAGAATACAATGATGGGAGCTGAGAAATGAGCTGTATCCTTAGGTATTTATTTTATTTAAATCTATTTAAATGGCCACTCATCTCACAAATATGACTCTGGGTAGCTGACAAAGGTACAGCTACAGTAATACCACTCAAGTTTCTGACATAAGAGTTTCTTGATTTGAACAGAACCAGGTTACTTCATTTTTATAATTTTAAGTATAGAGTTCCATAATGTATATGGAATAAATTGTACAATTCGTAGGTTTGTTCCTTTAAAAAAACTATCAAATATAATAACTGCACCCTTTTATTTTTCTTAAGTAAATATACTTCATATTAATATCATATATACTGACAAATAAAGAGTTTTTTTCTGAATATTTATTTATCTAATTTATATAGTTGCCCATCTCACCAAAAGTGATTCTGGATGATGTACAACAATATTGGTCCAAATCAAAATTAATCTACAAATTGTGATTAAGTTTTATAGTAATTTAAATTATAATTTGAAGCAATTTTATGATGCGCCACCTATTTTAAATTACAATAATGCTCACTTGAATATCGATAAGGAACCTATCCTATATAGATCGCTCTGAACCACAGAACCCTATTAATAAAGAACTTTATATCAACTTCAGTATTAAAACTGAACCAATCACCAAAAAAGATCATCGAAATATTAATTCTAGGCACAATATAAACTGGAAAAAGACTAGATCAAATTACTTTCTCATCTTATGTTTTACTACTATGGCAGGGAAAAGCTTACACTGTCACAAAATAGCTGAAGCTTAACAGATTTGGATCTGATAAGGTGTGCTTGTGAAGCCATCAGCAGAGACCTTGAACACCATCTTGACTTCAACAATATAAATCAAAATCTAAAAATACTGATGCAGAAACTCTGTAACTACTTGGAACCAGTGATACACAACTTCATCAGACAGGAAATTCCTTATTTAAGTTCCTCCAAAGTTACAATAAATGCTGTGTTCAGCAAAAAAAGAAAAGGTTTATGTTAAAGATAAATGACAGACCTCTTGTGGATTAGAGGATATAAGCAAAGGTATGTACTCAAGGACCCAGAAGGAGAGCAGCAAGAAAAATAGACGTAGAAAGGACAATATATCAGTAGCTGTTTTCAAGGTAAATAAATGAAGGAAGGTCATTGTGTCCTTTAATGATAAATTTCATTTACATTTGCTTGCAGTTAAACATTTCTACAATGAAAATTTGATTCAAAAAATAGAATCTGATAAAATTTGGACTTCCTCAAAATCAATGGAAGGAACACTTATTCGTAGGATAATATTTCCCAAATATCTATAGCTAGCGTATTCAGTAGTTGATTACCTATACAAGCCTCACTCAGTGCTTTGTTTCTTAAAAAAAGACAGCACTCTTGAGAATAATATTAATAGATACTATTTGTCTTAGGAGTGACTGTCATGATGCTGATGACCTCTACAATGTTAGGATAACTAGCATGATCTGCAACACAAGGATAAATAGCTCTTTCAGACTATCAACTAGGGTGACCTTGTCAGAGATGAAACAGTATGAAGATGTGACATTGACAGTTGCAGCAAGTATATAAAATAAAGTCCCATATTTTCAGATAGCTAGAATATTTCCACACTTGGATAATAATAAGTTATTTACTTTTAAAATTCTAAGACCAAAAGCCTATACACCTACATTTAAATGCTCATCTTTATCTACTTCTTAGCATTTAATGATATGCAATCCTGCAGGTGAACTGGTGACCTAAGTACACTCCCCCCAGCCTCTTTAATCTTTCAATCTTTACATTTTTAATGTTTAATTTTAAGTTCCTTTTAATTCTATTTTAATTGTTTTAATTATGTTTTTATTTGTAAACTTCAGAGAGAGAGAGAGAGAGAAAGAGAGAGAGAGTCCAGTACCTTTTAAAATAATTTTTCTGTCACTTTTGCAAGGTCTGCTTATCTAAGATACACAATTGGTTGACACCCCCCTTCATTTTATGATGTTCCTAGTTCTGAGTCCCATACCTACTGTATCACCAAATTCTAGAGTGAAAATTTAAGACAGGAATGAACATTATTTTTGATCAGATTAGCTCATTTTCCCAGAATACTTTTCATTTTATTAACATGCATGATCAATCCTTTTTCTACATTTTAATTCTGATGAGCCTATTGACAAATCGATGTTTCCTCTAAAAGAAAGGAATACATTGTGGACGAAAAAAATGCCAAAATGCAAGAACTGAAGTTGAATCTGGAATTAAGAGTGTTAGATTATCCATAGGTGCTCTGTGTAACTGTGTTTTTGCAAGCAGACAACAGAAACTCTGTTTTTGTGGTCAGCTTATGATTACTGAGAGGCATAGGATTCTATCATGCTTATAGCTGCTAATGTTGCCAAAATGCACTCTCTTAATTGCTTTGGACTATATTTTTTTTATTCTTTGGTTTTCTTTAAAGATTAAGAATCTTCAGACTGGGAAAGGTTTGGGGGAGAGTGTTCTTCAATTCTTAAAAAAAAGTGGTTCAATTGTAAGTTTAAAGATTTGCATTTTTGGAATATAAATTAAGAAAATGACTATTGTACATTCTTGAAAGTTCCATGCAGATTAGGGGTTCAGATGGACTTGGCTTAAAATTTTGATATTAATTGAAAGGATTTTCTTCCATGAAAACAACTCTGTTTACACTTGGGCTGATAAAAAGACTTCGAAGATAAGACATTAGTGGGCACCAGATGGCTATTTTAAAAGAAAAAAAATGATTGATTGTAACAGGAATCTTTTGAACTCTAATTCTTTATTAAGCATAGGTTGCTGTAACTACAGACGATCAAGCCCTATTGAATGAAACTGATTTATAAATGGAATTAAAAATCACAGTTTACATGAAGAAAATGGAAATACTGGATTTACAAATGAAAGATGATGACTCAAAAATTGAAAAAAATACAAATAATAAAACAGGTGAGAGAGTTGGACTATTTCTTTATACTGAATTTACATAAGTTTTTGTGGAATTGCTATGTTGGAAGCACAAAGTAAGCTTGGTAAAGAGGAGGAAAAGAACTTTGAGAGAAAGAAGAGGAGAGCATAAGAAAGCATCTGCTAGAACTTTCTTTGAAGTTCTAGCAATTTCTAGAGATTGAGGCTGAAAGAAGAAAGAATTCAAAATTAATTTATTTGACCAAGGTTGAAATAATGGACTACTATTTTGGGAAATATTTAATGACTTCTTGATTAGGACTGGATAACAATGGTTATTTCTGCTACTATTTGTAGCTGAATTTTGATTATTTGAAGAAAGGAAATGAGAGGGGTATTTATTAAAGGGAAAGGATTCAGATTATGTGAAATAGATATAATTTCTAATATTTATGTTGTGATTTCTGATAACCACCCTGCCTGGTTCGCAAAGCCAGAAAGGTTGGGGAACTCTGTTTTAGAGAAAGACTTATAAAAAACTGAGAGAAGATATGAAATGAAAAGATATTTGGGTTTTTTTAAGAGTTAATGATAAGTTTTTAATGTTGATTATACTTGCTGAGGGTAAATGGGGAGGGGTTTTTGTAGTTCTATTTTTTTCTTTTTTTCTTTTTCTGTGCCTTTTTATTTTTATTTTCTTTGCTATATCTATTTTGTAGCTGTATACATCCTACTTGTATAATATAATCACAAATAAAATTATTGAGAGAAAACGATTTTCTATATTTGATTGACCAATGTACTGTTCACACTGAATTGTTCAGATGGTTCTTCCTTTGCCACAATGAAAAAATTGAAGTTAAGCAGTGTAGAATGTTATATATTCTATACATTTTATACATTCAATATATACATATTTTATTCTATACATTATATACGCAGCGGTTCTCAACCTGTGGGTCGCGACCCTTTTTGGGGTCGCACGAGCCTTTCACAGGGGTCGCCTAAGACCATCGGAAAACATATTTCCGATGGTCTCAGGCAGGGCTTGTCAACCGCCTTCTCTCCCTCCCCCCCTCTGCTCCACCTCACTTGTTTGTGGAAAATATGCTGCTTGGCGGCAGTCTGCACGAACTTTACCAAATGTGCTCTGCAGGGGGCACATGAAGAGCGCAGGCGCAGAGCAAGGCCCCGCCCTCCCCAGAGACTCATTGTGCAGCAACCGGATTGACTTCTTCTCCTGCACGCAGGTCAGCGAAGGGGAGGCTGCTGCAGTACCCAACTCCTGCGTCCGTCAGCTGGCGACCCCCGAACTTGCACTTGTCAGCCGGTCTCCTTTGCCACCCCGCCCGTCCTCGACTCCTCCTCCGCCCATTCATGTCGAGCCCACCAGGGCTTGACAGGGAGAGAGGGAGGGAGCTTCAAAGCTTCAAAGCTTCTAGCGAAGCTGAGCAAGTGAGCTGGGTGGAGCTCTCCTCTGTCTCTGCCTGTGCACCGGCAGGTTTGCCAGCAGCAAAGCCCCCAGCCACGCTGGCAGCCTATCCCCCTCCCCTTGTCCCTTCCTGGGCACGGAGGGGGGGAGGAAGGAAGGGACGAAGAGGGAGGGAAGTAAGGGACAATGAGAGAGGGAAGGAAGGAAGGAACAATGTTAGAAAACATGCCGCTTGCTAATTCAGCAGAAGCGCAAATCAGCTGTAGCCCGGCGCTGATCCTGAAGCTTCTGCTAACTTAGCAAGCGGCATGTCTTCTGGCGAAGCTGAGTAAGTGAGCTGGGCGGAGCTCTCCTCTGTCTCTGCCTGTGCACCAGCAGGTTTGCCGACAGCAAAGCCCCCAGCCACGCTGGCAGCCTATCCCCCTCCCCTTGTCCCTTCCTGGGCACAGAGGGGGGGAGGAAGGAAGGGACGAAGAGGGAGGGAAGTAAGGGACGAAGAGAGAGGGAAGGAAGGAAGGAACAATGCTAGAAAACATGCCGCTTGCTAATTTAGCAGAAGCGTGAATCAGAGGGAAGGAAGGCAGGCACCCACTCCAGTCCCATCCCAGAGACCCACAGATTCCTCCCCACAGGCACTCTGCAACCTGAGTGATCAGCTGGCCATGCCCCCTGGCCATTGATCACGTGACCCTGGGACACTGTGAACGTCATAAGTATGAATCAGTTGTAAAGCATCCGAATGTAAATCACATGACCCTGGGAATGCTGCAACAATCATAAGTGTGAAAAATGATCATAATTTGCTTTTTCAGTGCTGTTGTAACTTCAGTCACTAAGCGAATTGTTGTAAGTCTGGATGGGGAGAAATAGACTCAGGCTCAACCCTTCCAAGACCGAGTGGCTGTGGCTACCGGCGCCTCGGCATAGTCAGCTGATTCCATCGCTGACTATAGGGGGCGAAACTCTGGCTCCCTCGGATAGGGTACGCAATCTGGGTGTCCTCCTGGATCCACGGCTGACACTGGATGACCAGTTGGCGGCCGTGACCAGGGGGGCGTTTTATCAGGNGGAGGCTCCAGCTAGTCCAAAATGCGGCTGCGCGGGCGGTGTTGGGAGGGACTCGTCGCTCCCATGTAACACCGCTGCTGCGCGAGCTGCATTGGCTGCCGGTGGCCTTCCGGGTGCGCTTCAAGGTGCTGACCATCATCTTTAAAGCGCTCCATGGCATCGGACCTGGATATCTTCGAGACCGCCTCCTGCCGCAGATTACCTCCCATCGGCCTGTATGCTCCCACAGAGTGGGTCTCCTCAGGGTGCCGTCGGCCAGACAGTGCCGGCTGGCGACCCCAAGGGGGAGGGCCTTCTCTGTGGGAGCTCCCACCCTCTGGAATGAACTACCCCCAGAGATCAGTGTGATCCCTGATCTCCTTTCCTTCCGCCGCGCCCTTAAGACATGGTTATTCCAGCTTGCGGGACTGGCCTAGGGGAAAATTTTTAGTGGGGGTTTTAACATAATTTTAAATTACTTAGACCAATTATGAATATTTGTTTTTTAATTATGTCTTAATCTGTAGTTTTGATATTTTGTATTTTTATCTGGTTGTTAGCCGCCCTGAGTCCGCAAGGAGAAGGGCGGGATATAAATATAAACAATAAATAAATAAATAAATAAATAAATAAATAAATAAATAAATAAATAAGTCGAGGACTACCTATACCACCTATACTTTCCCATTTTTCCCTCTTTTTTTTGGGTCAAGTTTTTGATACCCCCCGGCCAGCTGGATGGGGGGTTGGGGGTCACCACAACATGAGGAACTGTATTAAAGGGTCGCGGCATTAGGAAGGTTGAGAACCACTGATATACAGTATTAGTCCTTGACTTACAACCACAATTGGGACCAGAATTTCCAATTGCCAAGCATGCAAATTTTGATCACATGACCTTGTGGATATTCTGACAGTTATAAATGCAAGGACTGGTTGTAACTCACTTTTTTTCAGAGCCATTGTAACTTTGAACAAATGGTTACAAGTTGAGAACATCCTAAATATTGCCAATTTCTTTCACAATGAGATATTCAGAATAAAATTTCCTTTGATTGAGAGAGCATTAAAGAATTTTATAGTATCATTTTTACAGATATAAAAAGAGAACACAGTTAAAACAGGCAGACTCCCATAGCAAAGAATACAACCTCCAATTTTGCTTTTAATTTCCCAGAGGGAAAATGCACCCAGTGGTTGCATCCGTTTCACCATGTGTTACAAAAACTAAAATGTGGAGAGAAGCAGATGGAGGTTAATTACTAAAATCTGACCCTTGAGAAGTAGTAACAAGCAAGCTAAAGAGAAATTCAACTTTGAAATCAGAAAAGGATTAAATGACAAGAAAGTTAACTGACATTCAGGAAGTCATGTTTGACCTAGCAGCCTAATGTAGTAGCATATGCCTAATAGGAGCCCTGAAGTATTGGGAAGAAAAAAAGAGACTGAAAACTATTATTTAGTAACTATTATTCAGGTAATGAAGAAATAAATAATTCTCCAAAGCCAATGCAAAATAAATATTACAATGAGATTTAGGATTATCAAATCAGTCAACTTCACAAGGTATTCCTAATATGCAAGTAGCATTATAAAATAAATACAATCTCTAAAGGACTATGTTTCTTTTGATCTCTTCCTGATATCAGCATGAATAAAAAAGTGGTTAATTAAATTAAGCAATTATTTTGTCACTTCTTTACCGTTTGAGAATAATTCTATAAATGGAAGCAAATCTATATTTGGAAGTTTGGATTACTGAAGATGCATGGGACCTTCATTGTCTAAAATTATAGTGAACACAATATTATTGTGTTGTTGTGGCTGTTAAACTTAGCTGCTAATTTGACATTTGTCATCTTTTTCTATCCTGAAGGCATAAGACTAGGTTGCACATCTATAACTGAAAAGATTCACTTTATGAGATCCTATTTATCATATTTCATACTGAATTTTAAACATATTCCTTTTAAAAGAAAATTTGGATAACTGATATTTTACCAGTGTCAAAGCAAAGGTTTATGAACCAACAGAAATAGTTCAAAAACCAAAATCACTTTACAAGACCTATGAACCCCAAGCATGGGCAATAGATTGAAAGGATAACTGAGAAGGGGAAAGATGCCAGAGGCCCAATCAACTCTACAGGGTTCCTTTCTGGCAGATTAGAGGATGAACTGATATACTGATAATACCTGGTGATGATTGCAATCTGGTATCTTCGGTGAATCGAACTGAGGTATGGCCAAATGGGATGCTTTTTGACCTACACGGTCTTCTCAAATATTCAAGAGCAGAGCGTGTTTCATCGTATGTGCCAGGAGCTGGAGTATAAGATTTCACAGGGGCAAACCTCTAAGAAAATGCAAGAGAATGTAAGTAAAGAAATAGCAGGCAACTTGCTCATATAGTTACTGAGTAAAGAGAGGTCTATTTTGGTGTAAAAGCAAAGCAGAGTCAATGGAGAAGCTGGCAGTAAAATTGCAACTCATAATCACGTAATCATGTAACTATAGCTGATTTGCTTAATGACCATGGCAGAAATGAGGGTGTAAGTCACATGATGGCCTGTTTGCAAATAATTCATCTATGTAGCCAGGAAAGTTTGCTTTCAGAAGCACGATACAATATATTTATTATATAAATTCATGCAATGTTTTGTAGGACGTGGCCAGCCATTTTGACCAGCACTGCTAGGGGGACAGCACTACAACAGTGTGATACAAGTCACTCCTCTTTTCTGTCTAAATTATGACACTAAACACACACCAGACAACGGGGACATAGCTTGCACTTCAATCCTGCAAAACCACTTCTGTTTTTATCATTGTGATGGAAGCAGCAAGAACCTGTCGGTATTGCTATTTCAGTCACTCCTAAGCTACCAGGGCTAGATGCATAAAGAGAATGATTAAATCTACATTGCAGCAAAAAAGATTAAAATCTATCTATCTATCTATCTATCTATCTATCTATCTATCTATCTATCTATCTATCTATCTATCTATCTATCTATCTATCTATCTATCTATCTATCTATCTATCTATCAAATTTCTATACCAGCCATCTCACCTGCAAAATTGTGGTTATATTAAAACAGGCATGAGCAAAGACTCTGCAAAATTAAGGCAATTTTAAAGTGCCAAGATGTTTGGTGACTGCAGATGGCTTCATGCTCAAGTCGTAAGACCTAACACTGCTAAGAACTATATTCATCTCATTATGCCATTTCATATCCAGAGTTCGCTGTCTGTTTATCCTAGCTTGATTACAAACCACAGATAAGAAAAGCTTTGGAGGCATGCCAGGAGGCATTTGTTGACTGTGCATGTTCAGTAAAATGAAATGATATTGAACAAATATATTTTATAACCTGCTCCATTCAATGCATAAGCCAAATTTGGAAATAATTTACTTTCCATGAATAAGCAACAAAATGTTCTGATTCTTTTGTACCTGAATCCAAGAAAACACAACACCTTGAAGAAGAATCTATATAATTAGGTTGAGTAATGCTTGAGAGCCTTACACTGCTATTTCAGAATTGGGGGTTTTTGTCATTGAATATGTAATGAAATAGGCTGTTTGTGTTCTTGTTCCTCTGTTATCTGCTCATTATTTATATATAATTCTTAATCTTTTGATATTTTGAATTGACATTTCCATTCTCTGTGCAGTGCCATGCATGCAGAAACTGTTAAAAATTCTGGCAAGCACACTACATTTTGTGTAACATTACCATGAGAGCAGTTAGTTCATCATTAGAAAATTGATGATCCTCAATGCTTAGGAATTAGACAGAGAGAGAAACAGAGACAGAAACAAAGAGACAGAGAGAGAGAGCCCAAAATTTGTAATGGAATATAACTGAATTATCTCTGGCTACAGTTGTGTTTTGGATATGATGTATATCTAATGTATATCTAATTATGGATCTGATAAATAATCTAGTGAATAATTAGAATCTATAAGAACGTCTGTTCAAAAAGTCTTTCTGCTGCCATTATGTTCTATTTAATGTATTGTAAGTATCACAAATAAACCACTGCAGACTTTCCTCTACAAACAAAATCCCATAAAACTGTTCAAATTTCTCAGAGGCCAACAACAATATAAAAAAAGTTGCAAATGAGAAAGAACTATAATACTTTTTACCTCAGAAAGAGAAAGAAAAGGAACATGCTGAGCTTCACTTTTCATGATGCTATCTGCCTTCCCAAACTGACTTTTTATATTATATTTACCGGGACCTGGAATACCCTGAAAAACAGAAAAAAAAATTGATGAAACATCCAAACATATAACAGCCACTAGAGTTTCAGGGAGATCTAACTCTGAAGGATTACTCCTTACATTGTCAAGTGAAGCTTTTCATATAATTGTTAACATTTATGAAGGAAACGATTATTATTATTTGTATCACTTGTAATACAACTTAATCAGCAAATGTCAAGTCCAAAATAAATCACCAAATCAGCTTCACTCAATCATATGCTACAGTTCTTTTGCATTTGCTGGATGCCAAAAAAATAGCTCTTCATTGTGGAGCATAGTAGGCTTGCTATAAAAGCTCTCATCAGATTGATGCATCATGCATGTATAGAATAGAGACAGGTGGACAAACTCTCAAAATATTGAGAAGAAAACATTAGGCAAGTCCAGCTCAGATATCTAATGGATCTAGAGAACTTCTAGAGAGCACTGGGGTTGATGCTCAGCAATCTGATAGGCAGTTTCTGGAAACTGGTGGTAACCGGATTCTCAACAAGATTCCATCTGCACAATCTCTTTCTGTGAGCCAAACATTGCTTTATTAAAATGCATACACTGGTTTATCAAAAAGTTCCAGGAAATGGAATACCAGAAATTACACTTGGCGTATTAGTGGCAAAAGGCCAATAACAAACTTAACAATATAAATACAACCTCACTATAATGAGATGAAATGCCAATGCTTCTCCTTCCTAATATCACAGTGTCAGCAGACTGTCAGCTAGCTGCATTGTTCAGTGTAGTAAATTCCTTCTTGAAGGGATGTTTAGAAGTTGCTCCTGCTTGGCAACTGTACCCATTTCAAGCATCATTGTGCCAAGAAAATTATTCATATTCACCAAAGTCTTGACTCATCTTGAGTGACGGATAGATTGTCTACCTGGGTTAATGACCAGCCTTGTGATACCCCATAAGAGAGAGGCTATTAGATTGACATCTTCCTTCATAGCCTCTGGACTACTTAAAAGGATTGGGAATTAGAACCAAAATAGTTCCTTTCCTACCTCAGAAGGCAGTTCTGGTGGCGATGAAGGATGATGTCAGTTTAATGACCTGTCTCTTATGGGCTATCACAATGTTGGTCCTCTCATGACAGCTGCTTACCATTTATATGAAGCCACTGAGAGGTAACAACTGGCAATTTATGGCATGCTACCATAGAGCCATGGTGCCACAGTGATTAGCATGCAGTATTGCAGGCTAATTCTGCTGACTACCAGCTGCCTACAGTTCAGCAGTTCGATTCTGACTGGCTCAAGGTTGACTCAGTCTTCCATTCTTCCGAGGTCGGTAAAATGAGGACCCAGACTGTTGGGGGAAATATGCTGATTCTGTAAGCGACTTAGAAAGGGCTGTAAAGCACGATGAAGTGGTATATAAGTCTAAGTGCTACTGTTACCATCAATATGCTAGTAATATCCAGCTTCGTGCTGCTACTTTTGGCCATCAAAATCTTTTTCCAGTGTCTGCAGGTTATTGAGGTCTGGATGGGACAAAACACAGTGAAGTAAATAGTTACTATTTGTCATTTTGGTTCTCTATCTGTGTTGTAATTTGATGAGTAGTACTATCTTAGAGGCAGCAGGTCTGCAGCTCAGGAGTCCTCCAGGAAACATGATTACTTCTAGATGGCCAGGTGGAGGCTTTGGATCTTTGCTCAGAAGAGAGAAAATCTGACTATTGCAACTCATGTCCTTATTAACATGTAGTTAGACTTCCGCAATGTGCTCTGTGTCTGGCTGTCTAGGAAGAATACTCAAAAAATATAGTTCGCCCAAAACACAACACCCCATCTCAACTGAGTCTAGTTGCTGTACTTATATCTCACTTGCAGGCCCTGCAGTGGATATTAATGAGTTTCCAGATGCATTCAAAGTGCTAGTTTGATCAATGAAGTCATCTATGGCTTTGTTCCCAAGCACTTTCAAGACTTCTTTCTCCAACTAAGGTTGATCCATATGATGTGATTCTCACAGGGAAGTTGCTTGCAGTACTCAAAGTTCAAGATGGAGGTGAAGTGAGCAAAAATTGTTTTTCAGGAAAGGCATTATATTATGGAATACTCCTTCTCTAGAAGTAAAGCTGAGCCCTTCTGTGCTGACCTTCCAGAAGGTAATGCTATCCTGGAGCTCCTTTAGAGATGAATGTGCACCATATGGAACCAGATTCTCTTGCCTGTTGATTATTTAGTATTCTACATTAGGGGTTGCTAACCCCCCCGGTCTGTGGACCAGTACCGGGCCGTGGCATGCCAGCAACCGGGCCGCACAAACAAGCAAAGCCCCATTCATAGGATGCAGGCAGCACACAAAACCATGCACTCTCCGGTCCATGGAAAAATCTTTCTCCATGGAACCAGTCCCTGGTGCCCAAAAGGTTGGAGATCTCTGTTCTACAGTATCGATAGGTTTTTCTTTCATTCATGAAATTGAATTACTGTAAACATTTAATAGTTTTACATTGCCAGTTCACTATAAATCTGAAAGATTGAGCTGCATACAAATGGGTAGGTAGGTAGATAGGTAAGTAGGTAAGTACAGAAGGAAGGAAGGAAGGAAGGAAGGAAGGAAGGAAGGAAGGAAGGAAGGAAGGAAGGAAGGAAGGAAGGAAGGAAGGAAGGAAGTCGAGAATAAACAGCAGATTGAAGATGATTCTGCAAAAAGTGGGGTCATGACCATGTTAGAATGAAGACAAGGAGAGGAACTGAGATCACCCAAAACTGTTCCAGACAGTTGCTCTCAGAAGGAGTTCTGCAAGAAAGTAGTCTCTGGTAGTTTTGGAGCTCTGGGAGATTAGGTTGTATTAAGGTAATAAGAGAGTTTTGAATGTAAAAAGAATTTTAGTGGACAGTTTCCAATGCTTTGTTGATTATTGTTTAAAACATGCCTTCTACTTCACAACATAGCAAAGTTTTCAAGTGACAGTATTCATTTATATAACCGGCATATAAACTTTACTTAACTCAAGGCTGAAATGTATCCTGTGCTTCAATAAAAGAGATAAACCTATGCTATACAGACAAAACTAAGGTAATTAAATTCTAAAAGATTGGAATCAGCTAAATATGGTAAATTGTGTGCTATCTAGCTATGAGATTGAAGCATATTGTGGCTATCAATCAAATTATATAAGAAAAATGTGTTCAGATTTAGGTTATGAATGATTCATGTTACAAAATATTGCCTTTGGAATATGTATCAATTGCCCAACCTGACAGGAAGCCACAAATAGAACATTAATACATCAGGAAGGCATTCAGATTACTGCCTTAAATATTTGTATAATAATAGCATGTTTCTAAACTACCTGGAGAATTCACACAAACACAAATATGTATTGAGGGTTTGTTAACATTGCTTGATATATATTTGTCTTTTAGACAGAAAGGTAGATAAACTCATTGGATGGGGAATTTTTGACAAAAAGAAAAGAACTACCAATACAAGTACACTGTTAAAGGAACTGAATATTGTACTTGAGAAGTTATAAATATTAATAAGAAATTAGCATCAAAATAAAATTAATCTTGGGACCTTACCTACTGAAAATTCCACCAGGAGATAAATATTTTATCCTTTTTAAGAAGTCTTTTTTTCAGTAATCACTAATGAACAATGATTACTATTTACCTTCCCAGTAGTCCTATCATTTTCCCCCATTTAAACCTCTTTCAGAACTGTTGCGCTACCATTGCTTTTTTTTCATCTTTTGAAAGCTATTAATGGAACCAAAACACTATCCAATTCAAGGTCATCTGAATTAAAAACAGAACTGATTAGCTTATTTTTCTTTTTAAAAAGAGAGAAAAACGTTAAAGAGGTCTTGTTCACTGACAATTTTTTCCCTTTTGAGAAATAATCTATTAGAAGGTTGGAAACTCTGGACTGAAAAACCATCTCCTCCTTGTTGCTCCAATTTATTGAGAATTCATCTTTGTTCTTGTGTCATACAAAACTCAGTGGAAGCTACTGAGAAACCATTCATCTGTTCGGTTAGTGATGTACTTATGTGTGACAAAACAGACTGTATCTATTAATCTGCTGAATAAAACCAGTTGAAACCTAAAATTGAAAGAGAACTTGAAGTATTCACTGTGAACTTGTCCCTGACTTGTCAGAGGACGCTGCCAAGATAGCTTTTTCAATCCTTTCTTCAAAGCTATCTTCCCATTAATTTATGGTATTTAATTAATTTACTGACTAGGACTCTACCAATTCAGTTTCTTTATGATCCACACAATAATATAAAATGCTGTTTTAAAAGCTTGGAAGGTCAAAATGCTATACATACTCGCTGATAAGCTGGGAATTTTAGGTGCCAAAATACATCCCCCAAAATTTATTCATCTTATCCAATGGGTTTATCCATGAGTTTTTACAGTAATGCTTTTTTGTAAAGTATATATATAAGCCCAAATACCATAAAAATGTGCCACCCAGAGGTAAGCCAGTTGTAAAAGTCAAAACATACAAAACGTTTGAGGGTTAGCTTATTTACAGGTAGCTTATTTTTTATGGTGTCTTGGTTAAAAAATTATGATCATATTATCTAGTGATGGACTTATACACAAGTATATACAGTAAAGCAGAGGTCCCCAAACCCAGGTCACGGCCCACTACAGGGCCTCGAGCCCTTCGGAACTGGGTCGCAGAAGTGGAACCATTCAAATGGAACTGTGCGTGCATGTGTGCTTGCCTGCTACTCGCGTGGAAGCATCCCCTCTCACCCCAGCTGGTCCACAAAGTCAGAAAGATTGTGGAACTCCGCAGTAAAGTATATTTTGTCAAGATGAAGTTGGGTTCATCCTGACAAAATAGTAACCATTATGATAATAGGCAGGGTTTTTTTTCTCATAGAACGCCCAGAACGGAGTTCCGGCACCTTTTTTGGATGGAACCTTGTAGGGTAGGCAAGGCGGGTTGTATGACGTGTGTGAGTTCCGGCACCTTTTTTTTTTTTTTTTTTTTAGAAAAATAGCACTGATAATA